GTATTTGGCTGTTGCAGAATATCACTACGCAGCACAGACCACGATCTTCCTGCTTCCAGCCTCCCCAGTGCTGGGATTACAGGTGCAGGCCACTATGTCCAGACTCTGGCTCAGTCCACCCTGGGGGTATGTCATGTGGCATGTGGCACTGGGGACTGAACCTCAGTCCCAGCTCTTGCCTAAGCAGGCGCTTTAGTCCACTGAGCTATCTTCCCAGTCCCAGGGGTGTGAAATTTCAAACCTTTACTTTGAGCTACATCCCCAGCCCTTCTTTTAATACTTTCTATTGTAAGACAAGGTCTTGCTCAATTGCCCAGGCTGGGTCAAATTCATGATCCTTGGCACTCAGCCTCCTAGATTCTTGGGATTTGCTACGTTCCCTGTACTTGTTTCCTGCACATTTAGTTCTAGCTCCTAAATGCTGAGCTTTTACCTTAATCTGCCCACAGCCCCACCAGCTGCCCGGCCCTCAGGGCTCCAGCCCCGAGGCAGAGCTCGGGTGTGCGGAGCCCTGAGGCTCAGCAGGACCGGGGAGGGGCTGCGTGCCAGACAGTGGTCTCAGGCTCTTCTCGAGCTCCGCCGCCACCCGGGGGGCCGCAGCCCGGATGGCATCCTGGATGCTATGCAGGTTCCACTGGGTCCTCAGGAGGGCATCATCCAGCGTGAAGGGGCCGTCGCGAGTGCGTCGAACTTGGGAGCAGACGGCAGTGGTCCTGAGCTCCAGGCCGATCTCGTGCACTAGTTTCCGGAGCTGCTGCTGCGTCTCGTGCATGCACTGCACCTCTGCCAGGACACACAGGTGTACATGACACTCAGGAACAGCCTCAGGGTCCCACACCCCAGGACACCTCTCAACGGTGGCCTCCTCTCTAGGGTCTGTTGCCACGGTGGGGTGGGGGTCACTGCAAGATCTCAGGCTCTGACCTGCACCTCCTGGATTACAACCTGCCTATGAAAAGACCCCTGGGGGAATGCACGGAAGTGCTGCTGGAACTCAGTCTGCTCATCTGTAAAATGGGCCACAAAGAATTAAAGTCTCCATTTATGGAAGGTGCTTAGATGGCACTAGCACTTTAGAAAAGGAACCCTTGTAGACAGGACCAAAGTCACGAACCAGGGATCCTGGGGGCAGCCCTGGGAAGGACAGGGTGTAGGGAGCCCGGAACATGTGATGGGAGTCGCTGCAGATGGGAAATGAGCCACCAGGCCTGAGTTTTGTGCCGAAGTCAAGCTCCACAGTGCAACCTGACAGCAGCCTGGGCAAGAGGAGCTGGCATCTGCAGCCTTGGCAGCAGGGAGCAGGGCCACAGCAGAGCCAAATCCCAGCAGCCCCTGCCACAGCTTCTGGGCCATGCTCCTCGTGGCTCCATCTCCGGGGACCCACCTAAGAGGAACTCCGGAGGTGCAAAGTGCAGGCATCGGATGCCGCAGATGAGCATCGGGGATTTGTTCATGGGCCGGATCAATCCTCTCACCGCCATCTCATAGGCCTCCTGCGACTGCAGGTCCAGGTTGGAGTACCTGGAAACCACAGGACACAGTGGGTGGTGGGTGGGACGGAGCAGGGAGCTGCGTCACAGCCCTGCCCACCCTTGCTGCCCCAGTGGGTGAGGATGACTGCCCTGGCTGCTCCTCCAGCCATCTTTGAAGAATCCTCCTTTTATCTTTTTTCAAGGCAAGGTCTCACTATGCAGGCCAGGCTGGCCTTGCGCTCACGGCCATCCTCCTGCCTCAGCCTCCAGAGTGCTCAGGTGACAGGCATGTGCCACCATGCCCAGCCCTAAGGCTGGGATTCTGTCCAACTTATAGACAAGGAAAGTGAGGCACACAGCGGGCAAGGGCTGCGCCAGGACCAGGCTGCTGACGCTGGGTTACACAGGCTGGCAGCAGCCCCCGCTCTCAGGATGAGGAAGGCCCCCCGCTGGTCTGGACTGCCCTTCAAAATGACCTTGTGTGTTCAGTGCGTGGCTTCCTCCCCACTAGAACCCAGGTTCCTCTGGAACGTCTATGCCCCCCAGGCTGGCATACAGGACATTCCTGTGTGCCCCGGGAGCAACAGGGGGTCCCTCGCAGTTGTCATTTCTGAGAACAGGACGCCAACAGTCCTGATGTCCCAGCACCTGCCCAGGGCCACTCACGTCACAAGGGCCTTCTGGTGGGAGCCTTGGATGACAGAGAGAATCCGCTCCAGCTTCGCTCTGGTCACGTGGTCTAGAAAGGCGAAGGTATAGGCAGTGTAAGGTGTCTGCAGGAGACAGGCGACAAAACCCGGGCGACTCCTTCTGCCACACCAGCCCTGCGTGCAGAATCCACCAAAGCACCAGTCGCGCTTTGCAGGGAATGGTAGTGTTCAGAAAAGCCTAGGCAACTGCTTTCCCCTTTCTAGTCTCTCCTTTTTCTTTTAAATTTTGAGACAGGTCTTGCTTGGTTGCCCAAGTTGACTTTGAAACACTGAGCCTCCTGCCTCAATTTTCAGCCCCAGTGCTGGGATTACAGGTGTATTCCACCATGCCCAGCTCTCGGAAAGTCTTTTTTTTTTTTTTTTTTTAATTTCTAGAGAATTCAATTCTCTAGTCATCCTTTATTTATTTTATTTTATTTTTGGTGGAACCAGGGATTGAACTCAGGCCCTTGCGCTTGCCAGGGAAGCTCTTATTCCACTGAGCCATCTTCCCGTGCCCCGGAAAGTCTATGAAAATTCTACACTCTTCTTAGCAAAATACATAGAAATTTAATATTCTGAATTCTCCAGAGCTTGAAAAGCCTGTTAAAGTCATCCAGACTGCAGGTTGCAAGTTAGGAATACTTTCTTCAGGGGCCGGGAGATGGCTCAGTGGAATAAGCGCTTCCCTGGCAAGTGCAAGGGCCTGAGTTCAATCCCCGGTTCCACCGAAAAAAAAAAAAGAATACTTTCTTTAGGTCAGCCAGATAGCTCATCAGATTAAAGTGCCTCGGGGGCCGGGGAGATGGCTCAATGGAATAAGCACTTCTCTGGCAAGCACAAAGGCATGAGTTCAATCCCCGGTTCTGAAAAAAAAAAAAAAAAAAAGATTAAAGCGCCTGTTTTGGCAGATGCAGGAACCAGGGTTCAATCCCTGGTGTGCTGTGCTGTGTCGTGCCATGCCTTGCCAGGCTGGCCCTGCCCTCAGGACAGGCTGAGATGGCGACTGAGACTGGGTGTGGTGGCGCGCCTATAATCCCAGCATTTGGGAGGCTGTAAACAGGAGGATCACTACAAGTCCCATCTGTGTAGTGACACCCTGTAGACCCTGTACTAAATACAAAAGAATACTTTCTTCTCTGTCAGGCATGGAAGCACACACCTGTAAGTAACCCAAGTGCTCTGGAGGAAAGACCTACTGTAACTTGCCCGACATTCCACGGCAGGGACTCTTCAAAGGACACCAGCACCAGCCCCATGCAGACACAGGCTGCTAGGAGACGTGAGGGCGTGAGTGGCTCTGTCCCCTGGTCCTACAAAGCAACTGCCAAAGCCAAGGCTGGGGTCTTCCACGATCTGCCTGGAAGTTCAGGTCCTGATGCCCAGCTGTGGCAGGTGCCAACTTCTGGTTCAAGGGAGCAGGTGTAGCGAGAGGGAGCTCGCCAACCTGGACAGGCACAGCCCTCACCATCCTCCCCTTGGCTGCATTTAACACTATCGTCTTCCTTGGAACATGCCTGCCTCTGCCTCCTTCCAGCCTAACAGCCAAACTCAAATGCTGCCTCCTGCAGGAAGCCCTCCTGGATCAGGCTGCCTTCTGCCCCTGGCTCGTCTCCTACCGTGTCTGGCTCTCTTCCTAGTGCCCAATGGTCTTGGACTTTTACCCTATGGCTTAGTTATGTAACTGACTCACAGATCATCTTTTAAAAATGAGCAACAACCCCCACCTCTCCCCACACAAGACGGGTGCGCGTGCACACGCATGTACATCTGTGTGGTAGGCCGAGTTCACTGAGGCAAGGAACTCCAGTGATTTACCACACATCTTCTCAGTGCTTGGTGCATGGCTGGTGCTAAGGACCACCTGTCAAAGGAACATATGCAAGAGAAATGTGGGGCTGGTGAGAAGTGAAGACTGAACAATCCAGCTGCATGTAATAACCCAGCACTCAGGAGGCTGAGGCAGGAGTATCGTAAGTTCTAGGCAAGCCTGGGCTGCAAAGTGAGTTTAAGACCAACCTGAACTACACGGTGAGACTCCCTCTCAAAAAAAAAACCAGCCAAGGCATGGTGGCACAACCTGAGGCTGAGACTGAGACAGGAGGATCGTTGCTAGCTCGAGGCCAGCTTGGGCTGCAAGGTGAGTTCAAGGCCAGCCTGAACTACAATGTAAAAAGGAATAATGAAAAAAAAAAGAATAATGATCCATCTGTCTTCCATCAGCCAGCCACCCAACCATCCGCATCTAATCTGTTGGGGACATCCTGGGCTCTGCTACTCGTGCACCCTGAGGGAATCTCACAGTCCCTGTTCTCCTGGCTGAGGTGGGTGGGCACACACATGCTAACTAGGTAATCACTATCATTAGCTGGTTTCCATTCCGAGCATCCATCCAGCCTAAGCCTGTGGCTACACTTCCCTGGAAGAGGGGACATTGAGGCAGGCAGCAAGGTGAGTGCAGGGCATTCTGGGAGACAGGTGCAGAGGCCAAGGCCCCAGCCTGAGCTTGGCAGGAGAGTCAGAGCTACTGAGCTGGCGCCAGTGTGGCCAGGTAGCGTGAGGAGCCCAGGGGCAGCCCACGCAGGGCTGGCGCTCTCACCGTATGTCGTCTTCTCCACCAGCCGCCCAAACTCCTGGAAGTCATCTGTGGCTTTGCCAAGCAGGCCACGCACAGTGTAAGCCTGCGAGGACCGGGAGGAGAGGAACTGCTCAGTGACTCTGCTCCAAGGCATGGCACTAAGAAGGTCGGAGCTGGAGAGTGGGTGGGGACCCTCGTGCTCCCTGGGGAGCTCCGAGCCCTGCTAGGGGCCTCAGGAGCTCTCTCTGTACCCTAGTTCTCTTCTGGGACCTGGAGACAGGGACAGGGCCAATCTCACAGCACTGTTGCATGGGCCCACCTGCAAATGTGGTGACAGTCACCCTGCAGCCACCCCACCTCCACGTCTCTCTCTTCCAGGTAAAGGTGCCCCGCTGCCCATGTCAAGCCCTCTGCCTCTGTGCTTCAGGAACTCCCTTTCCTGTAACTCTCACACCTGGCTACTGGTTCCACAAGGAAGAGTGAGGACAAGGACATTTACTGAGCATGTACGGTGGCCAGGGGACTGTGCTAAGCATGTCACACGAAGTCATTCATCTCATCTTTGGCACAGCCCTACGGGGGGAAGACACTGTCTGCACTCCCATTTCAGAGAAAAGGAAACGGCAGCACAGTGCTGGGACCCATCCCGACCTTGGCTTGTGCTTGCTTTGGAAGCACGTTCCAGGGACACCCGGCTGTGGGCAGAAGCTCGAGGGCTCTGTTTTTGGTGGGTGCTGGGGATAGAACCCAGGGCACATGTCATCACTGGGCGACACACCAGCCCTCATGCTAGGTGTAAAATCCAAAGTCTGTGACCTTCACACGTGCACTTTCAGGTGCTAGATCCCTGGCTCCAGCTCCAAGAGAAGCTCCCCACGGGCTGGACAGTGACTTGCGCGTCTCATCTTTGGGGAGACAACAGGGTGCTGTCATCAGACCCTGCTATGGTCCTGACTGGTGTCAAACCCCAGCCCTTAAAGCCTAAAGGCTCCGTGAACTGGGCAGTGAAGTATCTCTCTGAACCTCAGCTCTCTCATCTGTCAAGTGGGATGGTCAGCACCGGAAGTGGAACGCCTGCCCCAAAGGAACGCGTGTGCGGTGCGCGTGTGCGGTGCTGGCAGAGGAGATGGTGTGTACTAACGCCAGGGGTTACTGTCATTACCACAGTGTCCCTTGGGAGCGACTGTAAGATAAGCTTGCCAATAGCCAAGCTCAGTGTCAGGCCCTCGCTATCAAGCCCTGGAAAGAGCTAAGGGACGGCAGCTGTGCCAGGCCCCGTACCTTGGTGAGGTGAGCGTCATACAGGTCAGTGAGGAGTCTGCGTCTATGTCCCACGGCGAGCACTGAAAGGCAGCCACCTCATCTGGCACCCTCTTTCAAGCCATTCCTACCCAACCCGCCCCCAGAACACAGCTCAGGTGGGGTGGGGGGCAGGTTTCTAGGTGCTGCCTGCACATACACAATCCACCTCACAGTGGCCGAGGGGCCTGGGGTCCTTGGCAAGTTTCCCAGGGGTTTCTGATGTACTCAGAAGGGAAGGGATGGCCAAGTCCCACAGCACTGCACATTTTTTTTTTTTTTTTTGGAACCGGGGACTGAACTCAGGCCCTTGGGCGTGCCAGGGAAGCACTTATTCCACTGAACCATCTCCCCGGCCCCCTGCTTTTTTTTTTTTTACGGCAGGGTTTTGCCATGCAGCCCAGGCTGACCTTCAACTTGCTTCAATCTTCCTGCCTCACCCTCCCCAGTGCTGGAATTACAAGCGTGCACCACCACGCCTGGCAGCAGTCAAACCTGACGGCTTTGAGCATTACCCACCTGTCAATAAGCTGGGGTACGTACACCGCCTGACGCCCACAGGTATCAAGCAGATGGAAGGAGGCAGTGCACAGGCTGAGGTCAGCATAGAGAAAGGGCTTAGCAAACAGGGGCCGCTGTGGCCACTTCCTGCCTCTCCCAGTCTGTGTGTCCCTCGGGTTGAAGGAGAGAAGGATGTACTCCATTCTCACTCCTGAAGAACAGTGAGGGGACATGAGGTCATGTCTGCCAGCTCAGTTCTAGAAGCAAGACAAGGGGACCACCACTGCTGAGGGTGGGGGTGTGGCTCCTCTTGACCCTGGGACACAAACAGCTCACGACTCAGAGGCCTGTGTCTCCAGCTTGGCCAGTATTCAGACTCTGGCCAGAAAGGTGAGTCACCCACCCGGCTGCATCACGAAGGGCTGATGTTGTGCCCACTGGAGAACAGACATTCACCCTCCATGACACGGACCCAGGCCAGGCTCCTGCAACCTTGTTTTCTTCATCCACAGAACCACAGAATACCCACCTCGTAAGGTTGCATATGCCATAAGCCTGGCACTCAGGAGGCTGAGGCAGGAGGATTGCCAGGAGTCCAAGCCACCTGGGCTACAAAGTGAGTTCAGGGCCAGCCTGGACAAAAGCAAGACCCTGTCTCAAAGGGTCTTGAACCACATGTCAAATGCAGGAATTGATAAAAGTGGGCCACTGTGACCACTGTCCCGTAATTCCCTAATAATCAGAGACATGGGGTAGTAATGAGGAAACGTGGGCACTGGTAGAAGGTAGCTGGCAGCATCCCCATCTTTCCCCAAGGCTGCCCGCATCACCTACCGAGCACGCCTGAAGCCTGGACATCCAGCCGGTGTCCCACACCAATCTTCAGGTTGGTAAATGCTGGCCCTCGTACTGGAAAGAAACAGCAAGTCTATTTCTCAACAGATCCCAGTAACAAGATGGCAGCGGGCTGCGTGACTACCGCAATCCTAGAATGAAGGCCCATGGATCCACCATTTGGATCAGGCTGGACCTTGGGCTGCCCCACCAGAGAATCTGCAACCCAGAGCTGCCGCCTCAGTTCTCGAGGTCCTAGAGCAAAGGCAACACAAGAGGCTTCTAAATTTCCTTATTGGGGGGCCGGGGAGATGGCTCAGTAGAATAAGCTCTTCCTTGGCAAGCCCAAGGGCCTGAGTTCAATCCCCGGTCCTTACTACTGTTCTCCCAGTAAGAGACTTCAAGCTGGGCATGGTGGTGTATCCACTATCCCAGCACTTTGGAGGCTAAGGCAGGAGTATTGACAAGAGTTTGAGGCCAGCCTGGGTTGCACACCAATTGTGAGTTCAAGGTGAACCTAGACTACATAATGAGACCCAGTGTCAAAAGATAAAAACAAAACAAAAAACAGAATTTAA